TATCTTGTTAAATTTCGAAAAAATGTGCAACGTTCCTCTTTCCTGATTTCCTCCCTCTGCGTGCTCTCGGAGCACCGAGGCAGCAAATACTTTTGAAATGCAGCTGATTTGACCATTAAAGTGCATTTATTAAGGAAACGTTAAACTGAGACGCACCTTTACTATAATTTTGAGCAAACAAATTATTGTTTTTAGGTGGTTATCTGGCTAAATTTCAAAGAAATGCACAGTGAGTTGTCCCTCTGGGCGCTCCCGCTTCCGTGAATCGACTTTTGAAATGCAGCTGATTTGACCATCAAAGTGCATTTATTAAGGAAAGGTTAGACTGAGACACACCTTTGCTATATTTTTGAGCCAAAATATAATTGTTTTTAAGTGTTAATCTTGTTAATTTCTTGTTAAAGTCCTTCCGTGCACGCTCCTTCGGCTACCATTTGGCAGCCAATCAATTTTTGGCACAACACCAGCCCTCTTTTCCGGGTTGTCAGCGGTGACGCATAACAAACGCAACGCGTCAGCAGTGACGCATAATAGATGCGACATATACGGCGAAGCAACTTATTTGTTTTTTTCCACTTTATTAGACTTATTTGGACTGATGTGACTTATAAGGTGGTGCGATGTGTACGGCAGAAAACACAATAAGTGCAATTGGAGACCATAATGTTGTTTTCAAGCAACGTCTCTACTGGACTAGAGACATCTGTTAAGATTCACTTGGTATTTAACTGATATGTTATTCTCACTTTATCTTACTTACTTTAAAGGAGCCACACTTGACAGCAGGACAATATTTTTAACTGATATTTACTTGCAAGGTCAGATTTTCAGGACAGGTTACACATAATTACAAGAAGTACCTGTACATGCATGAAGACCAGTCATGAGAATCGGCAAGGAGCAGTGTGTGAAGCTTGTTTTTATACTTTTATCAGTTCAGCCGAGCTCACAGTCTCAGAGGCGTCCTTGAAGCGACAGCTGCACCCTGCAGCCTCACCTCATCCAGCTTTCTCTGCTAACCCAAACATATGATACCGCGGCCGTTAAACATAAATGTCATGGACAGAGTTAGCATTCTCAGCCAGAGTAGTTAAAACACCCATAAACTTTGACCAAAAATTCCCTAACATATGTTATTTAATTATCGACAACCTTGGGTTTCTATCCTGAACAAGCCCCAGAGTTATTTGTTAAAGCATGTCCTGTCTAGAAGTTAATAAACATTATAAATGGAAAAAAAACATTCGGTTTTAGGTCCCAGATCGAAAGCAGAAAAAGTTTATCTCCAAAATGAAGGAAAGTCTTTACAATAAATAAAATTGTAAGCAAACAAAAGCACGAACTTTGGGGTCAACCAAAGGTAAAAAATTAAAACAAAAATTAAAAGTTGAATTTAAAAAAGCAAACAGATAACAGAAAATATTCATATAAATCCAGAGTACTATAATAATTAAAGTAATCGTAAAATACGAAGGAGGAAAACTAAAGTTTAGATTTTTTTTGTTCTCCTTTAACGTTTGTTCAGTCTTAACAAATTTTGAGGAAAAGAACAGATCATTAAATACATCCACTGCTATGGATCTAACGATGACAACCTGTTTAATCAGCTCCGACTGCAGTCGCTGTCTTGATTTTAAAATAATCAATGAGGCCGTTAAAATCACAGAGATTGACTGACACACCGGCAGGTTCATGATCTTTGAGGATAATCAAATTTAAAAGAGGCCCCGCAGAGACACTACGCTTTAATTCAAATATTGTCTCTGCGTGTGAGCGCCAGCAGTTCAGACTCTTCAGTTCATCTAAGATGCAGAGCAGGAGTGTTGTGACCTTGGTAGACTTACCTACAATTACGCGCACGCACACTTGCTTATGCGAGCAACATTTAGATGCGCAAACATGCTTGCAGCTGACAAAACCGCGCAGTCTGCATCTCCATCTTTCTCGCTCAAACACTCTCTCGAATACGCAGACAGACACAGTTGCCCACCCTCGTCTGTTTGAATTAGGACTAATCAGCAGGTGAATTGTCGGCGGAGGCTGAGCCATTTGCAGTGACCTTGTCTAACGGTGGTTAGCAGTGGCGGTCACACACTCAACCACCACTGTATAAACGAATGGTCCGTGCAGTCACATTTCTGCAAATAAATAAAGACGGGGAAAAAAATTATGTCTTTCTGTACCGAGTCCCCAACAAAAATAAATGGTCCGAATAAAATTTGAAGTAACTCCCTGCATACATTTGCATATTAACGACAAAAACCTCATTTTCAAGCAAACACTTTGTTACCACTTTAAGCCTGAGTTGCATCTAAGCTCCTGTCGTCCATCTGTTTGGTGACAACATGTTGATACAGACATGTTTGCTAATTAATGCATTAATTAGCTGCACTAATGAACTCATTTGCATCCCTAGTAGAGTTTAAGACATTCTGCAACCAGCAGAACTGCAGGCAACTCGAGTGTGAAGTGAAACCATGAGGTTTGGCTTGGTGTCAAGCCCTCTGAAAGGTTGTATTGGAACAATCTGGTTTGGAAGATGACTGATTTCCTTTTCATAAATAAACATGCTGCCCCCAATGACTGTTTTTTGTGTTCTAAAGACTATGTTTTAAATATGTAAAAGCAGTGATATTTTTATTTTGGGCTGCAAAGCGGTGCTCAAGTGAATATTATGCACTCACAGCAGGATTGTCTTGGTTTTGAAAGCATGTTCAAAAATGTATTGATGCAATTATTTTTATTTTAGCATATATTTATTGCACTATATCATTGCACGGTATACTTGGACATGCTTTAATCATATTTTTAGAAGATTGCATACCTTTTTGTGTACTATGTCCTGCACGGTGCGTAGCATATGTGGATATTTTTTAGCTGAAAGCAGCTGTTCGTTGAGGATGAGAGTTAGGAATATGAAACATGAAAATACACTTTAGACAGTGGAATTAATTTGAATAAATATTAAATTTCTTATATAACACACAAGCAAATTAAAGGATGCCAAAACCGTTGCCCATTCAGTGGTGCCTCCAGATTTTTTTTTTTATGGGGTGACCATGTGGGGGCCACTGAAAGTCCTGGGGTGGCACACCAAAACTAAAATCAGAAACAAATATTTCAGTAGATTAGTTGTTGTAATTGACAAACACAGCAATACAGATTAGGGGACCACATTCTTAAACACAGAAGTTAACTTTTTTTTTTGGTTTATATTATTTAGTAAATGCTTAAAAACTTTGTTTACCGTACTTGCCGCCGTACACATCGCACCGCCGTATAAGTCGCATCTGTTACCCGTCACTGCTGACCACCCAAAAACGTGGGCCGGTGTTGTGCCAAAAATCGATTGGTTGCCAAATGGCGGCTGTGGGAGAATACATGGGAGGACTTTAACGAGAATTTAACAAGATTAACACTTAAAAAAAATTATTTGTTTGCTCGAAATCCTAACAAAGGTGCCTCTCAGTTTAAATTTTCCTTAATAAATGCACTATATTGTTTCCCCCCCACCCCCGACCCTGCCTGCCTTAGTAGCACCCCTGTGTCGTTTTTCAATGTTATAGGAACATGTCTTTATGCAGCCACTTTGATTAAAAGTTGACTCCTTCGATTTTACATTATTTGGTAAAGATCCGTCAGTTGCAGAGGGAAAAAGTCATCAGATGCAGTGAAAGTCCAAGGAAAGGTTAAAAATGATGAATGTAAAAGAAACTGAAACAGTGTTATTGAAACGCTTACGTCATGACTGAATCCAAGAAGCACAGAAATTACATGACAAAAACATTAAATATGTTTTTGACTGATGCAAAGATGGGTCTCTATCTCTTAAGAAATTATGAAAAGGAAAAAGATTTATTCCTCAATTGTTTGATTGCAAACAAGCAAAAATGAATAAATGATTATCACTCGCTGCCTTTTAAGCGAGAGTTTTAAGCTAAGATCGTCTTATGTTGAGAAATGAGAGTAGACTCATTTTGAACAAAGCTTCAAAATAGGTTATGCATAACCTCATGCAATATTCAATTCAATTCAAAAATACTTTATTAATCCCAAAGGAAAATTAAATGTTGTGTAACTCATTATACATGCTTCATTAAGAGATGTTATAGATACTGATGGCTGTAGACAGGAAGGATCTCTAGTAAAGGTCCCTCCCACAATGGATCGAAAAAAAATGGCCACAGATGCCTTCCGATCCATTCATCCAGACTCGGCTGGCCTCTCAGTTCCCCCGGGCTGCAGAATCACCCCAATCCCAGGAAGAACTCCTCCCTGAGCAATGACCACTCCTCCCAGCATCCTGCCGAGATCCTTGTCACTGAGCCAGCTGCACATGTCAGGGGATGATCCCAGTCCTTTAAGTCATGAGCCATGCTTTCTGCCAGTTCCAGGATCTCAGCGGTCAGGCACTCGAGCACAGCCGGCAGGGAGACGGGAATGCATCTACGGCGCCTCCTTTTTCAACTCATTTATCATTTGGGGCTGTAGTTGAAGTATTTTTTGAGCTTTTGAGATGTTAATCAGCAGCTCCCGGTTGTTATGCATCATAACAAATGTCCAAAAGTAAAAAAGATTCATTAAAAATCCTTCCAGCTGCACGGCATCCGATACCAGAGGAAACATTCATCCAAAAAAGGTTATTTACATCCAGAAAAAGAGGAATTAAGGTTTCCAAAAGCAATATCTCAGAATGAATGTAACAGAGCTACGCCAACATGCAGCCACCCCAAATGGCACAATTCTAGAATCAAGAATCATGATTGCATGATGTTGCACTCATTGTGTGTTGTGACTGTCTCTCAACAACTACAAAACCAAATAATATCACAATATGTGTGAAACTGACTGAATTATAGCCATTTTTTTTTTTTTTTTAGTTTCTATCAAATCCATCTTTGGTTCTAACAAGTAGATACAGGACTATGCACAGACAAAAACAGTCTTGTTAGCCTTCTGCCATTTTTTCTTTTCAAACACTGTTTTTCTTTCCTTCTCAGAGTGAGGACCTTCCCTAAGGATTCAGCTTCACTGGGCAGGGACACGGTCCGAGCCCTCATGTACTATGCCCTGAAGGTCTGGAGCGACATCGCGCCTCTGAACTTCCACGAGGTAGCTGGAAACGACGCAGACATTCAGATCGACTTCACTAAAGCCGACCACAATGATGGATACCCTTTTGATGGGCCAGGGGGCACAGTCGCTCACGCGTTTTTTCCCGGTGAGAGGTTCACCGCTGGGGATACACACTTTGATGATGATGAGGCCTGGACTTTCAGGTCACCAGGTGAGAAACAATCATTAAAAGTCCATTTTATACACACTTGAATCTCTGTCATGTGCCGCCAAAGATGAAGGCAGCATGATAATGTTTTTGACCTTGTCTGCTTGTGTTCGTTTGTTTATTTAGCAACATATTTCATGAGCCATTGAACAGAGTTTATTGAAACGCTCAGGAAAAACTCATTGGATGCACAATAACTAACTTTTGAAGTCAAGCTAAAGCAAGATGGCTGCCACAACCATCAGACGTTACAAAGGACAAAAATATTGGCTATTTTTTGGCAATACATTGGCTATAACTCAATGAGTTATACAGTTGTTGCCCTTAAATGTGATGTAGTAGCAGGTTTGAGTCATTCACGACAAACTCCATCAGATCGCTACAGATTATGTGAGATTTTTCAATGATGCATGTAATTTTTAAGGTTTGACCAAAACAAATTTGACCTTATTTTTGATCATAAGGTAATCTTAGTGTAAAATTATGGTATAAAAGTTGACGGTTGATTTGCAAGCTTCCAATATTTACAACTAAAAAAAATGTTAGTATGAAATGTGTAATCTTCACACGTCCAAATCAATGTTTTTATTCATTTAAATGTAAGTTGAGATCAGAAGAAAAATAAGGCACTGACCAGCAGAGGTACACACAAAAAATATGTCAAGCTTCTCAGGCCCCAGGCTGAATGAACAGAGAAATAGCTGTGGGCAACCTGAACACACAACCACTGGCAAAGGACATCACATAAGGTAGCTATAGTATTTAGACCATTGCTTCACATCTGCAGTAAAGATGGCAGCCGATGCCTTGTGGGGTAATGGTAGACAGGCAGAGCTGAGGAGGGAAAAGTATTAAAAAAGATGAACACCAAGTGTTGTTCCTGCGTGTGTTGCATGATATATTGTCTACCCAAGCTCAATGAAGCAATCTCCAAAGTTTCTCATTTCAAACAGGCATTGAATTAAATTTTAGTTACATTGTAGCATGTGTGTGTTAATAAATACAAAAGCATAAAAGACAAAGATGGAGTTGAGCGATATCCTGGAATATAAATGTGTGAGATCCTCAAAGGTTCAGGGGTCAAGGTTCAAAGTGACCTTATTGTCATTACCATCACATGTGGCACATGATATGGAATGAAATTGTATATTCAAAGTCCCAGTTACATTCAAAAACAGCAAAAAATGTAAAGTATTAAAAATAAACGGTATACAAGCATCTAAGATATATGCTAAACACTAATAATGTAAAATAATATTGTGTATTAAACAGCAGCCTGAACATGAGTCTGTTGTGAGCAGATGGGTATGAATACAGCAGCTTACGGTAAGAAATCAGCAGCATGGATAATCAGCAGCACAGATAAAGTGTCATTACAGTGATTTTCCTGGTTAGGGATGTATGATTCTAACAGCCTCAGGGTAGAAGCTGTTCCTCAGTCTAGTGGTTCTACACTTAATGATCCTCAACCTCCTGCCTGAGGGGAGTGGGGCAAAAAGTGTGTGCTGCATGAGTGGGGTCCTTCATGATGCAGGTGGCCCTCTTCCTGCATCTGGAGGTGTAGATGTCTGTGATGGTGGGGAGGCTGACTCCAACAGACTTCTGTGCAGCCTTCACCACTCTCTGCAGAGCTTTCCTTTCTGCAGCTGTGCAGCCTCCATGCCACATGTTGAAACTACTACTACTACACTACTAAAAGGAGATTTAAAGCAAGTTCAGAAAAACTAAGGCGACATAAGTCTTATTTGTCAAAAACCTAATTGGTGCACAGGAGGCAAGTATGGCTTCAATCCCCTGTTGTCATATTTCATGGTTAATGACTATTTCATTAATTCTGTGGTGACTAAACCAGCTCATTCTTATCAATAACCTTTGCCAGTGTTGTGATAACAATTAGCTGTTAAAAACGTATTTATTTAATAATTTGTATTTGCCTTTAGTTTGCTATTGAATCTGTTTTTAGCAATAGGCTAAAGTATTTGAATTGCACATCTTTATCGAGTTAGTGCCATCATGTTGTGTTTTTGTTTTGTTTTAAGTATGATTTACTCTCTCTACTGGCTTTCTCACGGTCTGCAAAAAACAAAAGTAAAGTAAAGTACTGATACCCAAACGTTCCTTAGATAATATGCCATAGTATATTTATTTTCCACAAATGGTAAGGTACCTCGTCTTAGTAGTTTGCACATATCATACTAGGGGGGGAATACAATTGCATGTGCATATAGGGATTGACTGATTTGGATAACAACCATCCTCCCCAGTGCTCACTGCTCATTTTTATGACTGGAACCTGATAGACAGGCAGAACCCTCCAGGCTCACAAGCTTACAATGCTTCTTCTCCCAAGAAATGGAGCTGAGACCTTATAGCCAAGGTGTGCTGCAGATGATAGTGATGAGATGCTGTTTTCATTTCGCTGCTTTGCTTTCACTCTGTTAAAGCTGGTAAGCATATTTTACCACAGCTCAATTTGTTCCACTTATACCTCCCAGCAGGCTGCAGGAGGAGGCTGTTGTAGTTTACAGCAGTGCATGCATCGACAGGGCTTTGATTAATAGAATCAGAGCAATGAGGAGGGGAGAGATTAGATGTTCTTGTTTTCATGGCCCTCAATTATTTTGCTTTTCAAACTGCACAGTAATCGTATGCCAAACAGACAGATAAATGATGATTATGTGTGAAAAAAAAAAAAAGATGATGTTTTTAGCTTGACATTTCTTTGTGCTGATGACAGGTAAGGCAGGTTTGGTGGTGAACAAATGCTTGTTGAGAATTACTTTACCCTGTTAGATGTTCCTCCTGACAAACTTCTTTTTTACGTCATGTTTAAAAGTAAAATAGGCTGGAAATAAAGGATTTTATTTATGTATTTACATATTTTATTGTTTGGCTTGTAGGATTATTTGGTTACATTCCATTAAAAATTGTGTTATTTTTCAAATTAGGCTGTATAAAACTAAGATGGCTGGAAATGTCAATTTTTATTTAATTCTTGATATTGTAGCTACTCAAATACTGTACATTTTAAGGTCTTAGACTTACCTCCAGGATAATATGCTTAGTAAATATTGCACCTAAACTCATCAGTTTGTCTAATTCACTAGGAAAATGTAATATAATTTAAAAGTCAGTCTACAGGATCATGGTTTTTTTTTTAACTTTTTTTTACATCCTAAAACTTGCTCAGTTCCAGCTTTAAATACGTTTTTATATTGGTACCAAGCAACCCATTGACTTTCTTTTTTGTTCCCAGTCGTGGAATGAATGAGGAGAATTGAAATACGCTCCATTTATCTATTCATCCATATGTTTGTGCATGTTGTGAGCATGATTGCTTGAAAATAGGTTGAAAATAGATTTATATTTTACACAGTACAACGCCTACCCTCTTGAATATCTTGCACCAAAAACAGTAAAGTTTACTTGCATTACCTGTTCAATTCCAGTCCTGAAAAACTTGCAAAACTCATCTTTAATACTACAAACATATTTACATCTCTTAACTATGGGGGACATCAGCATTCCGCTTGTTAAGTTTTTGGTTTGTGTTGCTTTTAAAATGTGCTTGCACAAAGAAAAAATAAAAGTTTAGCTGTGAACAATTTCTCCTGTAAACTGAATTTTGTATATTCTTAAAATGCTCTGCTGCTTTTATTGTAATTTTTATTGCAATTGCAATTGACCCCAAGTCTCCCAAGGTAGTTTGGTCCTAGGTAACAGGCCAGACAAAGAGCAATTCAAAACATAAGTCTTTTACCTGGACGTGGGCAATGTGGGTCACCTGGTGACCGGTCTCTACGCATGGTCCCTAGTCAGGCTCAGCCCGAATGAGATACATGGGTTTGCCATCCTGTGGGCCCACCACCTGAAGGAGGGGCCACATGAATTGGGTGCATGATGTCATGGGCAGTGGCCAAAGGCGGGGGCCTTGACACTCTGACCCTGGCTTACCGAAGCCAGCTTAGAGAGCGAGAGAGAATGTGGCTTTAATCAACCTCAAGGGAACTGTAGCTAAAATGCAGGAGGACTTCATGGGAACCACAGTAAGCTCCAACTCTGAAAGATGAATTTTTCAAACTGTAAGAAGAAAAATAAAATACTTTGCAAAATTTAAATTACATTTGAGATCCTGAAGAAATACAAATTGTCAACCAAAAGGATCCTTGAGATTTTAAGATGTGCTGCATTCGAACTGAGGAGTGGGAATCTATACCAACACCTAACCTGATTAGACCTGTTGCACCGGAACACGTTCAGCTCAGGTGGGACTTCAGGCAAAGCTCCAACTCCTGAATTCCCAGATAAATGGAGCACATCATTTCTGACTTGTGAGCCACCTGGCCATCGTGTGAACGATTATGCTCATACGAATCAAATCAGGATGCTAAGAGTGGAACTGCATCCAGAGTAGCCATTTTTTAGGTAATGAATTAAATGAACACTTTTTGATATGCTTTAAATTTGAATCCAAAGTTGACTCCAAATGCATTCTAAGTAGCTGAAAACAGACACTTGGATAAACTCTCACACATGGATGGGGTTTGTTTTGACCCATTATCCTCTCATTTTAGCAAAGAAGTAGATATTGGAGTAGAGTGATCTTAAAGATTTGATTTATATATATTGAAACGAGTGTCTCATTTTCCACTCCACACAATTGCTTCTTTGCTTTAGACGTGCCTTAACTTTAAAATTAGAGTTCAAAAATCTAATTCATCATTTTGCTGCAAATTCTTGACTTGTTAGAAATCCATCAACTTAAAGTGACATTTCAGTATATCCATTTTCTCAAACTCTTTTTCATAAAATTTTGTTGATTCAAGTCCTGTCCTGCTAAGGATTATCAGTATTAGGATTTGAGTTAATTTCCTGAAATCTACTTCATGTGAATAATCTAACCTATGTATGGAAAATATAGTAACAAAGTTGTTAGGTCCAACATAGCTGTGGATTGATTGTGTACACTGATCATCAATTTTTTTGTGGTAATTTTAACACAAAAACTCAAAATCTGCAAAAGGAAACATTTCCTGTTATCTCATTTTCAAAGACATATTGTTTATGTGACCACCTTATCTGTCTGAATTCTTGCATCATCACACTCCAGAACTGCTCCAGAGACCAGCTGCCATGGGTACAGTCTGTGGTACAGAATACGGTCAATAGCCTTGTCCTGCTCCAAAATTTTCAAGCAATCTATCAACTTCTTCTTGTAACCACTTCCTGAATCTCTTTTCAGCGGTTCATAAGTGGTTAAGTCACTAAGGAGTGTCATAACTTTCTCATGATAGTCTTTCTGGTTCAAAATCACTGTGAACTTTCCTTTGTCTGCTGGGAGAATGATGATGTTTTTGTCCTTGCTAAGAGTGGTGAGTGCATCCCTCTCCTCTCTACTGATGTTGGAAGGTGGTGGTTTGGCATTGCTGAGGCAGGCTGAAACTTTGATTCTGAGATGTTCTGCTTCACACTCTTTCATTTTGTTGTTGCGGATGGCTGATTCTGTGGCTGTGATCATCTCCACCAGAGGAATTCTACTTGGTGCAACCGCAAAGTTCAGTCCCCTGGCAAGAATCTCTGTCTCTGGCTGGGTGAGCTGTCTGTCAGATAAATTCTTCACCCACTTTTCTGTCTCCCTGGCATGTAACTGTCTACTGGGGTGTTGTCTTATACTGAATGTGTTGTTATTGGAATTGTGATGGTGTTGATGAGTTATTAGTAAGTTAAACTTGTTTTGTTGTCAAGTCTTGGACTTGACATGTTGTGCTAAGCGTGCCTGATCTGGGAGGCCTCCGTGTTCAACTGTCCCCCTCTTACAATGCTGTTATTGCTAGTATCACTCAGCCCCCTGTGAATAGTAAACAGCCGTCAGTGTGCTAATGATCCATCGTTAGGCTGATGGTCCTTCTTGATCATGTGAGCAGTTGGTTTTTGCTGTCAGCAGCAAACTGGTTGATTCACTATGAGAAGGTGCTATTTATAAGACTGCGCTGAATACAGCACCTCAGACTGAAGAAGTCTTTCGAATGAAAGACGAAACATTTCTACTTTTTTTTGTTTGTTTGTTTTTCTTTGTTTTGTTTTTTGAATGTCCAGAGGACCAGATTTAACTTTTTCAGATTTTTCTACCTGGATTATTGAGCATGCATCAGAATATTCTTAGTCATTTTGGCACAAAGTGATGCAACATTCTAATACAGGTCAAATCACTTGAAAAAGGATTACCCTTGGCTCTGTGCTCCCATTTCTTTCCATGTATGCTTTAAAACACCACCCTCATTAAACTTGAACAAAATGCTGCAGCCTGTTTGTGTCACACTGTTTACATCACACTGTATCCAAGTTAGGAGTGACCCTGAAAGTCTGTTGGCTATGTATCAAAGTAATGGGACAATACGGTGAATTTCATTATTTAGAAATTATTCATAGGGGTCCTGCTAATGCACTTTTTCAATTTTATTTGCTGTTCATTCTTGTTTTCATCTGCTGTCTTTTTTTATTTCCATTAATGTTTTTCTCTTATTGTCAGATACATTTTCTGATCCAGCTTTGTGCCAGACCCTAATACTTGGTTATACCATTCGCTACTGCAACATAACTAATCAAGGCTTTGTTGAAGGAATGTGATTCATGCCAAAGGTTGAAACATAAGATCATCTTGTGCTGAGGAAAGATGGTTATGACCATTTTCAGCTACTGTTGTTTGTGGTTGTCGACTTGAATTAGTGAATGACGTGCACATCCAATGATTTCTCTTTTCCTATTTTTATTAAATGCATCCATTGGTTTGACGAGATATTTTGCTAACACAACAGATAAATGAACCTGCGGGCTAAAACACTGTCCCTTTCATCTTTTGCAGCAGGCAGTAATTGCATCCCACACATTTCCATCAGTATCCCTCTCCACTCCTATATGTCCACATTCCCTCTTTTCACATTGTATTCCTGTAAATTTAAAGAAGGGCATTTGACCCCTGAATATATTACGTGCCATAAGCTCAAGTGCACCTCTCCACTTGTTCTTTGCTTTTAACGGAGCACAGCGCTGAAATGTTCCCAACCCGAGGACAATGCAAGGTTAACAGTAGGCAGATTTGATCTGAGCCACAGAGGAACTGGCTTGGCTCGACACATTTGCACTCACATGTTTGCAAATCCAAATCACACAACCCCGGGTTTTGTCCTGCTTTGCAGAGCCCAACAAGGAGTTTTTGGAAGCGTTTTGCTTTTCAGCTGAACATGCATGGGAATGTGCTCTAAAGGCCTGCAGTCTTGTTGGATATCATTCTACACTTGGGTTTTGATTGGCAGCCCAGAGGCTCAGTTAGTATTATCATATCTCACTGCGCCACATCCTGAACTGCACTCGCAGGCACCGCAGCTGTCTGTTCTGTCTTTTAGCTCGCAACGTATAGAAGCCACACAAAAGCTGCATTCTGATGTTCATCAAAGTGAAGGTGAAGCCTCAATAAAAGCATATTAGGATTTATGAAAGGGGGGAATGGTGTCTTATGTTCTCAAATGAAAGCCCTGTTATTTCTCACAAAAAGCTTCCCATTTTTTTTACGTGTGGAGATTATTTCTTCCTGTCTTTAATTTCTGTCTTTTGATTTGGACAGCACGTGCAAATGTAAAATAACAAAGTTATAATTTACCATCCCCACTTTCCATGCCCCTTTCAGAATCCCATGGGATGGATCTGTTTGCAGTTGCGGTTCATGAGTTCGGTCACGCCATCGGCCTGGTCCACACCTCAGCCATGGAGTCCATCATGAGACCGTACTACCAAGGTCCTGTGGGTGATCCTCTGAAATATGATCTACCCTACGAGGACAAAGTCCGTGTCTGGCAGCTCTATGGTAAAAGGACACTTCCATTCAGCCTGAGAAAGTGTTTCTGTGTGTGAAAGAAGAAAGATGACTTGACTTCTGTGGGTGAGCTTATTGATTAATGAAAACATGGATGGAGTTAATTGGACCTCTTTATGGGATATGACCTTATCTTCTGCTGTAGAGAGTAGGAGTGGGCAGGGGAGGAACAAGTGATTATGAAAATGTGAATGAAATGTAAAGAATGTTGAAGGGACTGCAGAAGATGAGTTTAAATGACGTGAATTAGAGGCAAATATTAAAACAGTGTAACGATACCAACATTTCTGCTGTGGGTATTTTAATAATCAATAAATATACGAACTTAAAGACTACTTGTGGAACAACCTGATATACTTTCGTTATTTGGACCCTGCAGGTGTCAGAGACTCGGTGTCCCACACAAATCAGCCAGGCAATCCCTCTCAGACCCCTGAGCCTCCTGTCCTGCTGGACCTTCCTGAAAACAGATCCACACTCATGTAAGTAAGAAATAAAGTGGACTTTTAGTCTAATGCAAATAATTCAGTGTCTCTTACAGTCAAACACAACATGATCCATGTACTCGTCTCCATATTGGCCCTCTACCCTCTGCAGACCCTTGCAAACACAAATGATTGGATATTTGCCAGCCTCTGCATATTATTATTATTTATTTTTTTTTATATATATGCTTTGTCAAAGATTTTGGCACAGATGGCTGTGATAAATTCTCCCTAAAGGAGAACAAGGAGAAGTTTAAATCAAAGACACTGCCAGAGTGTTCGATCAACCTTTAGCCCAGACTTCAGCTGGACTTGTAGATCATTTATTTTGCTTTACAATTTCATCAACTTTCCATTTACTTTACTAATTCTACTATCAGCCTATTACATTTGGACAATTTTTACAGATTCTTTGCTCACTTACTGTACTTGCTGTTTTTTGCTTTTAGGTTCTACTAATGACCTCTAGTGGCTCCCATTGATGGTCTGATCCGACTGTAATTTTTGTGTTGATTAAATTAGTTGTAAAACGCCTAAATATTTCCATTACTGTGGGTGACAAAATAACCCTGACAGGAAACTCCTCCTTCACAAGAGGTAAAATAATGTGACGAGTGTCTCTTCACATCCATTCGTCGTTAAATCGTTAAAACTCCAGGTTCAGTGGCCCTTCATCTCATGAGCATGAAAATATATTATAATGCTGATATATTTCATGGCCTTGTGCTCCTGCGAACAATTAATGGGTCGCAACGCTAAGTAATTCTCCAAATTTTGTAATCATTTGGGCATTAAGTCATCACTTGCCCTCAGGGCGTCTCGAGGGGTGAGCCTAAACCAGTAGAAATGGTCAGAAATAAGCAATGGAGCATGAAAATGATTAGTGAATATGTATTATTGGAGATTAAACTAAGAGAGGAGGACAGATCTCATTAAGGCTCTTTTTAAAGTAGTTCAGTGAACAATTTGTCATTAGTGGACAAAAGGAAAATGGGTTCCATTAAATCAGAATTGTAAGCAATCATCAGACATCAGTGGGTCAGCCCTTGGGACTGGATGTGTTACCCAGAGAGAGCGGCGCATCAGTCAGTTTTAAGTGATGTGAAGAATTATAGAGTCTTTATCTGTTATTATACATAATCTATGATGTTTTATAGCATCTTGGGTCATTGAGTTGTTAATTCAGCATCTTTGTCGCCAGATTATTTGTCTTTCTGGGCCTTTTTAGCCACATCTCTTAAAAAGGCATCCAGCATCATGCATCTTTTAGAGTAAACCAAAGCCAATCTTTGTAGACCGTAAACGTCAAACACAAGAGCCACAAGCCAAATCTGGTCCCCCAGGATGATAATTTAAATGTAAAATACTGTATCTCTTTTAATTTTTTATTTTAAAAAAAACTGATAAATACACCATTTAGTGTAGACGTCTCTTGCCAGTTGGCTAACTTTGAAGCCAGAAAGATGGCTGGATCATTTTGTCATTATTGATTCTGATTTGGAAAGAGTACATCAAGTGAGACAGATCAAACTTTTGTGGATGAACCTGTAACCAAGAAAATATATCAGGTATCTGACTCGAGTTAATGTATCAGCTGAATGTGGCCCATGGCTCGGGCAAAGATTTAAAATGTTGTCTTCTTTAACTGCATGATTCCGACACCCCTATATGAAGACTGTCTCCATTGCCTCTTCATGCAATGAGATGCAAGACCTTGTGTTGAAGCGTTATCATAAAGCTACAGAGCTAAAGCTAAAGAGTCCAAATTTAGTGGAAGGGGATTTGATTAATCAATGACGTGGCTCTTTTGACTAGAGTTTGTTGACTTAGTGCCAGAAGGACAACATGAAACATGATTTTTGCTTTTAAGTTTAATTACATGTAATTTATTTATTTATTTACCCTTTATTTATACAGGTAGTCTCATTGAGCCACGAGAACTCATTTTCAAGAGAGACCTGTTGGGGAGCAAATGGTGGGGGTTAAGGGCCTTGCTCAGGGGCCCAGAGTGGGGCGAATGAGGGTGGAGGCAGGTGTGGGTGTTTCACTTTTTCCACCCACATTTTGATGTTGACGGTACCGGGAGTTGAACCTGCGACTTTCCGATCACAGGCCTGTCTTCTAACCTCTGCGCCACCACTCCCCCAATTTGTGTTATGTAGTCTGGTCGTCACTGATTATCATACATTTAATTTCTGTCATTGTTTGTAAAGTTAATCACGTTGGCCAAAGAAAACACGCACACATTTATTTCATAAATAACTTATTAGACATGAAATTGATTGTAGGAGAATGCTAAACTTTATTAATAAACAACTTAAGAATATTAAGTTTCTTTACTAACGGAGGGTCTGAAAAGTCAAGAACAAGTATGCTTTTTGAAAATAAATGGCTTTTTACAGAGTGTTAGCGTAATTAAATTGAAAGACTAATTTTCTCTTGCAATAATTTATGGCTTGTTTACCAATGAGCAGACAAAGTCATCAGCGAATATTATGAACGATGAGATTCAACTCAAAAGCAGCACATCCGAGCAGCTTGACATTACTCTGACCAGTTAATAATATTAGGAATAAAGATTTTTTTGGATATAGTCAACATGCTCCACATAACAGTAGATTAATGGTGTGTGATGCCACAACTCTTTTTTTTTTTTTTTTTACCGTACTTGATGTGAAAAATAAACATTACAATTAAAATTTTCCATTTGTTTCTTTGCTTTATTGTGCACTAAAAGAAATAAATGTACAACTTTTATTTATTTGACAAACAAAAAAAACTGAATGTACATCTTGTAAATGTGATCATTTTTTTCCAAAGGTAGTAGGCCCTATAAAACGCCTCCAAAGCCATTTAAAATAGTTCATACCATTTATTTATTTATTTTTTGAAGAAGTGCAACTTTCTGTTTGGCTGTTTTACTCATGTCCACCATTATATGTTTTTCTTTCTGCATCATCTCTCTCTGTCTCTCTCAGGGTGGCGCAAGATGCTCCGGACAGATGCACAAGTCACTTTGATGCAGTGGCCCAAATACGAGGGGAGGCCTTCTTTTTCAAAGGTGAAAAAACAAAACGGAGCCAGACTGTAAGCAGGAAAAAAGAAACCTCTTGACGTCATGCTATGAAACTTACAGGAATTATAACAGTTTTCTGTTTTTCACAGTTGCTACTTCTACTTAGTATGGATATGAATCATAAAAAATGTTTAAAAATATATATTACTGAGACCAACAAAGCAATAAAACTATAGTTTACTTAAAGGTGCACCATCTTGTCCCAGAAGTCAGAAGGTTTTAGACCTAGGGATGCAGATGTGACACGAGAGGCTCCAGTAAAAATGAACCAAACTTTAAAAGAAAAGCAGTAATTTACAGAAAACATAAGCCAAGTCTCAAACAGGCACAGTAGGAAACGTATGATCCACTGAGAGAGAAACAGAAACGCGTGGAATATAAGGGACCCAGCTGATGAACATAAGCAAAAACATCTGGCAAGAAGCCAGGTGGGAACAGGTGAGAGGGGGCGGAGCAAGAGCTGAACCAATCACAGAGAAGTGAGAAAGATGAAAATTCATACAGGGGACAACTGAACTGAAGTCACATGAATAAACTCATAATAGAACTCAAACACAAGTATCACAAAAAAAAAAAAAAAGTAATAAAACTAATATCAGGAACAAAAACTACCAAAACAAATCAAAACGCACACCTTTTGAATATAACAGTTTTTTAAAGGCAAAATCCACCCCCCCACCCCCCCTTCAGCGTTAAGCTCTAGGAGTTTTATCACTGAGAATCATCGTGCTCATTATGAAGTTTATGTTCGAAAATGAAAATGTATTAACGTTCTTGTCACTAAAAATACTTGACCATTAAAACCCCCACAATAAACACAATCATCAAAAATGTCATTTAAATTCCACATTGTATCATTAAACACATTAAATGTAACATTCATACAGCTGGGTGCAAATATAAACACGTTTAGCACATCCAGAACCCCAAATCCTTATTAATGTAATAACATGGTGTAGGATGCAATATAGTAGATATTTATTTATTTTTATTATTTTTTCGGCTGCTCCCTTCCTCAGGGGTAAACACAGCCACCGAACTAACTCGCACAAAGATATGGCAACTGTTTTTAAGCCGGACGCCCTTCCTGACTCAACCGTAGACAACTGAGCTACCACAGCCCTCTGTGTGGAGCAGAGAGCTGCCATCTAGGTTGCCCGGGGGAGTAGAAAGTGGGGGTTAAGGGCCTTGCTCAAGAGTCCAGATTGAGACGAATGAGGGTGGAGGCAGGTGTGTGTGTTTCACCTTTTCTACCCACATTTTTGATGTTTTTGTAGGTCCAGGGAATTGAACCGGTGACCTTCTGATCACAGGCCCATCTTATCTAACCGCTGCGCCACCACTCTCCATGTTTATGCTAATCTACAAACACTTGCACTGACTCGTTCAGAGAACATCATAATGGTTTGGGGGTGAAATCAAAAGTTAAACAGACACTCCTCTAGTCCTGGTCAACCAAATAAACCTCTTACTGTTAATATTATTTTATTTAGAGAACTAAAGATGCAGAAACAGCCAATCAAACTGAGGAAGATGCTAAAACGAGCTGTGGGTGCTCTCGGCACAACTTTGTCCCGTTTTCTCCCAAAATTCACACATTTCTTGTCAAAGTTGTTGCCCCAGCGGTCGAGTCACTGTTAGAAGAGTTAAGACTTGTCGTCTACACAAAGTTTGTTTTCTCAGTCATCCAGGTATATAACAACAAAAAAGGTTGAATCATGTCATCTGGACTTCGTTTTTTTTGTTAAAAAGAAACGTTTCGCCCCTCATCCAAGAGGCTTCGTCAGTCTGAGGCCTAGCCATCTGGTATTACCCAGAAGCCACCCTGACTCTTGTGTTTCAAGCCTGCCTCAGATGGATGACTGAGAAAACAAACTTTGTGTTTTTGAAACCATTAGTGAAAAGGCCAGACTTCAGGGCTATCTGAGGCAGGCTTGAAACACAAGAGTCAGGGTGGCTTCTGGGTAATATCAGATGGCTAGGCCTCAGACTGACGAAGCCTCTTGGACGAGGGGCGAAACGTTTCTTTTTAACAAAAAAAAAAACGAAGTCCAGATGACATGATTCAACTTGTCGTCTACATTTGTCTGGTCCTCTCTATGCTCCTTTTGAGCTCTTCCATTCCTGTGTGCTCCTCTCCAGCTTATGGAGCAGCCACATGCCCAGGCTGCACCTCCTCTCTCAGGTGGTGGAGGAGTGGGTGAACATCCTTCTGCAGGTTCATCTTCTCTCACAGCTGTTTATAAAAACTCTGACAACGTCAGTATGCACTCCAGTAAGTCGTACAAATGAATACATTCTAGTTTTTTATGAGCACCACGCTCTAACTTCTTCTGGGACACGCCTCAGACTATCAATACACATTGTGATTGGTCAACTCCTGGACCCTTGGCCAGTGACGTCAGGTGGGACATAAACATTAAGGCGGCCCAGCTCTCAGGGCTTTGACTGTTGGAGAATGGTTGGCGACTCAAAACTGTAAGAAACGTTGCAACAAACCAGATACTAGATTTAGAAGTGGTCGCAATGACGAGCACCTTTCATCTCCTTTAGATAAAATCTCAACTTCCATTTGAGACATTTTTCTTTTTTTTTTTTTTTATGTCAACCTAAACTATCCTGACGCTTCATTTCTGCTCTTCAGAGTTCCACCTTATGTGGTCCTCAACAGTACATTATTAACAGTAAATATTAATCAATTTTTGGTGTTATAAAATGAATTAGGAACTGTTCATATCTGTATCAAGATGCATCAAAAAATAGATTATAACCCTCCCCACCACTATTTGTGTTGATTTATTTATTTATTTTGCTGTGCTGAGACTTGATTAAGCTCATACTAAAACATAATAAAACCTGAACAATTACAATAAATCCTCTTCATAAGTCAGATTAAAGCTCTTTAGCCTTGTTCTACACATACTTTAAAGCAAACCTGCACATCTATATTAGGACAAACAATACATCTGCAAGCTCATCATTAAAAAAAAAAAAAATCTGCTGCGGTGTTCAACATGATACTGCTGAGAATAAACATTTTGATTTACTGATAATTTGCATAGATTGTTAAATCAATAATTTTATAGTAGCTGTATGCATTGCAAATCAAAGCTTGAATTTATTAGCCTGTAAATTGTAAAATCTTTATAGTTTTCTCCTGCTTGTTAATTTGTAGGCCTTACAACATAAGCTAGACCTACATACTGTACAGTATGTGCTGAAGTAACAGCTGGATGAAGGACAGTCTCAGTCTTTAGCAGTAATGGGAGCCACAGGCCTCTTTGGAAAATGGAGAACAACAATTTAAAGATGTTTAACCTGCTCAAATTGATAGTAGCATCAGTTCCTCGGCTCCTTGCTGTTTCTAAAAATCCTAACCTTCAATATCCAGGACATGAAGGCCTTGAGATATCAAGAAAAATAAAAAAAATATTGTAAGAAAAAACAAACAAAAAAAAGTCTGAGTTTGGTGAAGAAAAAATAATATTTTGTCAAATTAGTGTGAAGACAAATAATGAGTTTGCTTTCTGAAACCCAGAAAGACCAGTATTTGTTCAGATCAAAAACAAAAGCTTTCCAATAAATGTTGGAATGGGATTAGGTAAAGTGCCGGGTCATTTCTCTGGCAACATGCTGTGGAAAGAGTCCAATACGAGTAGCAGAGCTGATTGGATCTGACTTGCAGGTGAAGCTCACCACTCTCACACCAGGTCTGAAAATTAGGCAGAATCGAAGAAAAGAGAGAGCAAAGTCCTTAGGCTGGAGAGCAAGCAGCTAGTATCACCCTCCTACAGATGCCTACTGGCATATGACCCAAGATATTAAGTTCATGGAAATGGAAATACCTAAGGGAGAAGTCAAAGACCTGGTAGGATTGCTCTTCCAGGCTTTAGGTCCCACTATAAACCAAGCAGTCTGTGAACAGGATGTCTGCTGACTCCCCCAATGCACGAAGGAGTAGAGCCAGAAAGACCATGAAAGAGATGGACTTGAGTTGAAACTTAAATTATGAAATTAAAGTAAAGA